TCAGCTATCTGAATATCTATTTAAGTAATTCAAATGTTATTAGAATAAAATGAAAAAGACAATCAGTTAGCAAATAGTTCTTTTTAAGATAGTACAAGCTGCCAAACATAATATGAGTAATAGCTGAATATTTGGTGCAATCTTTTGACTAGAAATTAAGAATTTTTTTTGTAAAATGTCAAGTTTCAAGAAACTTTTTGGGTTAACGAAGGTGGCGGCCGTTCTAAAGAGTGGTTTTAAAAAAGTCACGTGACACCGTCTCTTGTTTTATTAAACCTCCTAGATAAAAACAAATTAAATAATATAATAATGATGTCAGTTAAATTTTTGTAAAGTTGCGTCCCCATGTTTTTGTTTTGACCTTCTTCTCGTCATCTCAAGTTAGATTACCTTACCCAATGCCTATCTCGTATCAAACTCTTGCTTTTTATCCAGAAATGGTCTAATTTTTCTTATCATATATTCTAGAACGACTGCCAAGATCTTATGATCTTTAGCCAATTAAAGTTAAAACGGCGTGTTTTACAATGTTCCGTGGCTCCTGTAATTGACCATTTTTGATTTTTGCAAGCTTTTAATGTTCTGCACTTCATGAAATGATTTTCTTTTTTGTCTCACTAATATATATATTTCCTTATGAGCATTTAAGCTGGTAAACTTTTTGATTTGAGTTTGTAGGTAGTTTTGTTATATTTTTGCATAAAAAATAAATATTTATATGTAGGCCCAAATTAGATTCAGGTTTTGTTCGATGTAGTTAAAATAAATCCATTCGTACCAATCTTTGAAGCAATTCATGTTATTTTTAACATATTAAGCGATGATTTTGATTTAAAACTAGGACTAAGTTACCCTTTATAGATATGCACAAGGTAATTGAACTTTTATTAATCATATTTTATTTTTGATACGAAGATTAAATCTGAATTTTACTTAATTCAAGTCTAATTGGTTTATTATTGATGCTAGTCATAACTAAAGCATATTTGCAAAGTATAGAAAAAAGAGTTCTTAACATAGCTTTTGT